TAATTCGTGCTATAATATACATAAGAGGCATTTCGCTCAGAAATCTCTGATTTCCTCGTTGGCTCCCACAGTACAGTCGTGCAGAATTACGAGCATCTGTTACATTTACATCTAAAAGCAGTGTCTCAAGGAGGTCTGGCAGTCACAGTACATTTTAACGAGTTTTGTGCAAGTAAGAAAATTAACACGATTTTCTTCAAGAGATCAAGTATTCGTATAAGGGATTTAATTCCTTATCTCTTTAATCTAAACCAGTAACTAAGTTTCAATATACAGCATTATCTAATTTAGAGTTATATTAAAAAATATATACAGAAAATTATTGAATTCATCAATGTTTGAATGCCAAGTTAAGCTGAAAATTGACATACACAAGTGATTTTCACTTCACAAAAAATTGAAATTCTTCCAATCAAAAATATCAATACAGCCCGAAGTTGTCTGCTCTGTAACCTGTTATGTCACCCTTCAACTCATTGTAAACTACAGGGATATAGACTTTATGACAATGCTCAGAATATGAACTGTCTGCTTTAACACTTAACAAAATTAATTTTCATCGAAAAGTACGTTTTTGTTTCGTAAGAATGCACAGTCATTATACCCATACATGGCATTAACTGCTTCGTCTTTGTAACGGCTGTTATGCTGAAAGAATTAACCGATAAATATTAAACTACTAGAATTTCGTAATACTGAACCGCTCTCCTCTTAGTATCTCCTGACATCTTCTGTGGAAAAAGTGCATTACATGAACGGAGCGCCTTTGGCCTCGAGTGTTACTTCACTTGGGCATCGCGAGATGTTCGCAGTTCTTGTGCGAGTAAAAGGTGCGGGTATGCGAGACGAGATTTTATATTGAAACGATTCTAAAGTCTGTAAAGTCATTCCTATATAAGATTAAGGATTACACGAGACACGGTTCAAAATTCAAAGTCAGAGTTACTTTAGGACTCGCGGTTAATCGTTAATCAGTTCGTCTTCGCGCCAAACCCCTTGAGGACGACGACCAGATATTTTTTCAACTGAACCTATGCAGTCACAATCCTTATTTAATATTCTCTCTTACAAGAGTATGAGTTTGTCTCTTATGAATATGTCTTGCCTTCCGTCAAGTGTACATTTCGCACATATAGCGTGTTACTCAAAGTTCTTCCTTTGTACTAAACACAAGTCCTCTGTAAGTACAGGCTTTACAGAGAAGATCATACCTATATTGCGTATCCCACGCTACAACGGCAGTTTAGTTACTTTATGTGTAGCTAAGTATAATCTAAACCCAGTGGAAGAGCGCGTATGTTATAAAGTTTTCTATTGTCGTCTCTTCTTGTAGTAAGGAATCCTTCGGATAGCGTCTTGTAAAGTGTTGTATAGGTTGTTCCGTGTTATTCACTTTTTCTTGTCGAAGCGATGCCGAATATTTTTTGGTTTATAATTTATACACAATCAAATTCTTCAACATTACCATTTTACAAAGGAATATCATAATAAGTTAATTTTTAGTAATACTAAATGTTAGCTCATAGCATCAGAATATTACATCTAACATCCCTAGTCATAATTCAATACAGAAACACAGACGAAAGATGAAGGGTTGTGAGTTACTTGATTTCGATTTAATCCTGAATGGTTCCGGTCCTTTAAATCTTCTCAAATTAACATTCTAGGATATTCCATAGAGTTCCATAACAAGTACATCTCATCAAAATTTAACAAGCTTCTGCATGTGAGTACTTATCTGAATGCAGAACGTACGATGGAATGAGTACCATACGCTACAACCACGTCAAAAATCCTCTAAGAATTGTTATAATGTCACTGTGATGTTTCTGGATAATGAAAGACTTCAACACATCGCAAAAAATGAAAAATCTAATAATTATACAATCCTGTCGCTTAATCAGCAAGCTGCTTTATTATCAATATTAATTCATTTAATTGAAATTGAAATTGTATTTCAGTTATAATCATTGTGTGTAGTGTGTCCTTTATTATTTGCGTAGTTTTGTGTGATGTGTCTTTTGTAGCACCACTGCCACCGTGTAAAGAAACCCATTTTCAGTTTAAATAAATAATAATAATAATAGTAACATTGAACAGGGTTTGAAACACTACAAAAGGAAATAAAAATGTATCCACTACGTGGCCAGCCAAAAGCTGTGTGAGATTGAGCTCTCCCGTATAGCTAATTGAATGAGCTGCACCAAGGAACCCAACACAGTTCATCCAGTTCCCGGAAAGCAGTGAATCTACTGGGTGATAGTATAGATATCATAAAGAAAAACACTTACTTACTCATGGAGCTGAGCCCTTCTGGAGGAGCCAGCAATTCTGCAGCTACTCAAGAATTTCCCAGCATTTTATGGAACCCGAAGGTTCATCACCGTGTTCATAAGAGCCCTCCACTGGTCCCTATCCTGAGCCAGATCTATCCAATCCATACCATCCCATCCTATCTCTCTAACATCCATTCTATTATTGTCCACCCACCTAAGCCTTCGTTTTCCCTGTGATCTCTTTCCTTCTGGCTTTTCCACCAATATCCTATACGCATTCCTCGTCTCCCCAATTCGTGCTACACGACCTGCCCACCTCATCCTCCTTGACTTGATCATAAAGATAAACGCACAAACTTTAATTGACGCAAGTAAGGAGGTTGGTCTAGAAGTAAACGCAGAGAAAACTAAGTACATGTTGCTGTCTCGTCACCAAAATGCAGGGCAAAATCATGACATGAAGATAGGAAACAGATGTTCTGAAAATGTGGCACAGTTCAGATATTTGGGAACAACGATAACAGATCGAAACCTGATTCAGGAGGAAATTAAGAGAATATTGAACTCGGGTAATGCTTGCTACCATTCAGTCCAGAACCTTTTGTCTTCTCGTCTGCTGTCTAACAACAGAAAAATTAGAATATATTAGGGTATTCAGTATATCGACTGGCTACGGGCTGGACGACCGAGGGGTCGGAGTTCGAGTCCCGATACTGCCAACATTTTTCTCTTCTCCAAATCGTCGAGACCGGCTCTGGAGTCCACCCAAACTCCTCTCGAATGAGTATCGGGGGTTCTTTCCCCGGGGAATAAAGCGGCCGGGGCGTGAAGGTGACCACTCACCTCCAATTAGTGCCGAGGATCCATTCCCCATGCGCCTTTATGGTATAGTGCTTAATTACTTGAGCACAGGGCCAACTTTACCTTACATCCTGGATACGACGCCGTGAAGTCTAGTGGTGTACTAGATACCAGCGTCCTCTTCCAGGCAAGAAGTAATTGCGTTCTTCTTGGATACGAAGCCGTGAAGTCTGATAGGTAGGTAATAACACTCTGGGACATGGTAGAACATGAAGGCAGTGTCTTTCTCCGCAACGTATGGCCGCGCCATAGCTCAAGCGGTTAGTCGCTGGCTTCCCACCGAGGCGGTCCGGGTTCGATCCCTGGTCTAGTCAAGTGGGATTTGTGATGGACAAAGTGGCGCTGGGGCAGGTTTTCTCTGAGTACTTCGGTGTCCCCTGCCAATCTTCATTCCATCAAATTCTCCATCATCATAATCACCAGGGGCAGGCTACAATAGGCCAATCAGTGGCCGTCTTGCCGAATGGACCCAGTTGGACTCCACCCCCCACTAAGTGAATTAAAAAAAAATATTTTTCTCCGCAACGCTGGTCAGAACTTACATGACTGCACCTTCCATAACATTGTGAGCTGCAGACCCATTGCTAGGGAACGAGTTGACAAACACATTTCCATGGAGGTGAATTCATGGAAACCAACTCGTAACGGAACACGTTTCCGTGGATAGAGGTGTGCAACACTGACTCGCTATACACCAGGAAACTCAGAGCAGAACAGTTCAGAATGTGCCCGTGTGGAGGCGGGTCGAATACCTCCACCGTAGCCCTGCGAGACGCAGGAGGCCGCCTAGGGGTAAAACTGGGCCACCCTGTTCCTGGGGGATATAATTACGTGCACCTGGCCTTTCAGGTTATGGGAGTCTCGAATCTGAGACAGTAAAATATGGTATGAGTCCTGCGGGACTCGGACCTGAGAATGACTATGCTGGCGAGGACCAGCAGCAATTGTAAACAACAGACCAATCCTCTCGTGAAAGAGGATTTTACATAAGGATCATAACCGCAAATGTCCATTTGGAAAATAAAATTACGGGTTGAGAGTCTCAAGGGGCTTATCACCAAGACGAACTGATTGGCGGTAAGCTGCCAGTTGTAAAGTGACTCTGACTCAGACTCTAAGAAGAGTTCATTTGAAAATCAGTCGTAGGTCAGAGCAGAAGAGAGAGAGACCAGAATGGAGCGAGTCCATTTATTGTGAAGTTATTGTGATTAAGATTGATTGTAAAGGAGTGATCAATAAATCCAATCACTCAATCCTAACCCGTTATTATTAGTCGTTTAGCCATAAAAATGTGAGAAAATTAATTTTCTTATTTAGTTATATTTTCGGCACTATGATTGTCTAAGAATGATGCCCAACAAAGGTTTCACATTTTCCCCAAAGTTTTCCATTCAGCATCTACAGTCAGGTTTCTTAATACAAACTGTTTTACTAAGTAAGGTTCATTGCATCACACCAAACCCCCAACCTCGAACACCAGGGCCTTCCTTTCGTCTGGCCCTCTATGAATGACCCTACCAGGAGAATATGCCCCCGCTAGCATCGTTGTCAGGTGATCGAAGCACCATGATGAGGTAGTAGCACACAGACAGGAATATAAGCTTTCATCTCCCGCTTCATAATCGCAACAATCCACTTTTAATCTCGCCTGTAGCATTGTTGTATAGCTGAAGAATGCTACCTTCTGGGTAATATCCCGTTGGACATGTGCCAGCGTGAAATCTGCAGCAACGATCGGATAGAAATCGAATCGTTCAGAACTACTGTTAGGCAGACATGTGGAAGTGTGGGAGGGGAGCGGGGGGTAGGAGCCTCAGGTATTCTGGAAAGCAATCCAATGAGAGCAGTTGGTTGTGTCCGCTGCGAGCGGGTAGACGGCGCTGAAGAGCGCGCGCGCGCGTCACAGCAGAGCTCCACAAGAGATCTGCTGATGGATTTTGGTGACCGAGTGGGTGGATGTACTAAGTGATCATCAAAAGTGGATTACTTTCAAAGGACCCGGACAGATCCGGGCCAATGACAAGTTCAGTGTTATGTGCCGATAATCATAACGAGTTTTGTTGTGCCGCGGTCCCTGGAAAGATGACCGAAACGTTCCAAGATGTAAGTACATTAAAGTGCTATTAAGGCATGGAATTGACCGCGTCATAGCTCAAGCGGTTAGTCGCTGGCTTCCCACCGCGGCGGCCCGGGTTCGATCCCGGGTCTGCTCAAGTGGGATTTGTGGTGGACAAAGTGGCGCTAGTGCAGGTTTTCTCCGAGTATTTCGGTTTTCCCTGCCAATCTCCATTCCACCAATTGCTCCACAATCACCCTCACCTGTCATCTGGTACAATAGGCCAGAAGTGGCCGCAGTACAAGGGACTTAGTCTCACCCCACTAGCAATAAAAAGAAAAGGCATGGAATTCCGGAGAAAAGTTCGATTCATAAACTGCTTTAAGATATAAACAGATTTACAACAGTTGCCTTTTTTTACCATAATTCACGGTAGTTCAGAACAAAAGTCAAATGAAAATAAAAATATTATGTTTCTGGACATTATCCGTCATCCTCTTTTTATTTAAAACACAAAATTTCCCGAGACTGAATTCTGTCTCCGTCTTCAGGTAAAACCTACTCATTTGGACCCAATCGATAGAGTTAGTCCCTGTCTCCGGGCCTTCTGAGGCCGTATGTATCTCCACCATAAGTGAATGATTCCCAGTCACCTGTGACCATCCATCAAATCATTTCTTTCTGGTGAAGACGGTATTCGAAGCGTTGAACTTCTGCTCCGGAGAGCAGCGGCTGATCACCAAGACCGATTTTATTTCTTTTAATCTCCATAAATATTTCGCAAGTCATAACTACTTTAATAATATCATTTTTCATATTTGTATTTCTTGCATAATTTAATTACATTCTATATGGCACTAGAAGTTGCCTTTTTATTTACTTTAAACTTGTCGTAATACTTGTGGATTGAGAGTCAAATGAGAGATCGATTTCATTAAAAAAATACCTACAATGCTGAAATAATAAACGGCATTAAGCTTAGAGTCTATTATTCAGTCTTACGTGAAACATCGCTTCCCACAAAACTTGTTAACTTTAAAAGTTTAAAATGTTTTCTGCCAATATGACCATCATCATGTGTTAAAATGGTTTTGATGATAAAATTGCTGCCTTCTGGTGTTAATTTCTACCCAGGCTTCATCTATACGCTTGTGTGAAGTTGGTGCGTTGTGTTGTCTTGTTCAGGAGAGTAAGACACGCAGAAAAGCACGCAGGAAGCAAGAACAGCGCAAAAGGACCTTACAATATAATATTAAGCAGCAATAAGTTAATTCCCGTACAGTCCTTAATAAACGATAAAACAGGTTGATTCTGAATTACTGACGGGATTTCCATGTTCCATAATTTTCAAACTGAAAAAAAAAAGCTTACGGAATGTGAAAATGTGACTCAAAACGTTTTAATATTTACATAATTAATATTAAAAAATGCAAAAAAAAAAAAACTTTAACATGATCTATCATATTCCTTAAGAAGTTTTGTTATTTCTGGTTTGAAAATTACTGATCACGGAAACAATAATTCAGAATCACCCTGTACTATTCTTACAGTAAAACAAAATAAATTATGTAGTACGTGACCTAAAATTATTAACTTTTACCACCAGAATCTTCTCCTAACCTCTGTTCTGACTCAACTGTTTGCGAACATGTTTCCTCTTGAACAAAGTAATCGACATTGAACATTACGAGAGTTTTTGTCTAGCTTTTGTATCTTTAACATTCATTCCAATTAAGCGAGAATTTCCTGGCCGGCATGACCAGTTCTGCAGGGCTGCTTCGAATCAAAGAATCTCATATTTTCCATTACTTCTTAACACTCTGAAGCACGAAATATATTTGAATAACATTTAAATATTTATTTCATACTGCAGAAAAACATGTGTCTCACAAGTACGAAGTTGTTAATAGTGTTTTGGCTAGTAACTGCTGGACATTTAGATAATCTTACGAAATACATAAGTACAGGATATGGACCAACTGTAGGATATTTTAGAGGCTAAGAATGTGATACTAATAGTTGTCACGGAGTTTAAATGTTTAACAAATTATACGATGTCTCGCAGATCGAATTCTGAAATTCTCGTCATGACTTCAAAAGATATAAATGTATAATTCTCTGTTTTCGACTCTGGAGAAGTGGAACCTCACGTGGAAAATTCTGAACGTCCCTCCTTCATTTCCCACCCTGAAAAATACCGTAACGATTATTTACCGTGGAATTAAAAACTCTTAACTTTTAAAATTCTTTCCTGCCCAGTGCCAAGATTACTCACACTTCCCACATCCCAGTTATAAGTTATGTTATTAATTTTTCTAGTACTTAGTGCTATTTCAGCACATTTTTATGAACTTCATTTAAGAATTTTGCTTTTAAATTTGAAAAAAAAATTGCAAGGAAAAATAATACACTTAGTGACATATTTACAGCAATTATATTTTCGTGTAGGAACAAAATTCGTAGACCTGGCTTCCTTCAACCAGAGGTGATCTGTGCAAAACATGAACATAAGTTAATTCAGTTCTGAATATCATGGAAAAGCCACTCATTAATTAATGGTTTGAATTCTGTGACTATGTTGTACAATAAGTAGTGCTTGATTCATATTCTGTCATGGAAAGAGACAGTATATAGACATGAACATAAAAAAGTGACTTCTGATAAATTAGTTACAATTTTGGCTTATAATATAGAATTCTGTAAACTAATTAAAAATGCTTGTGAAAAATAACAATTGAAACATAATTTTCATTTCATGCATCCAGTTGTGTTATAATATAAAATTTCTTTATTAAAACTGTCACAGCACAACTATATTAAGTGGCGCTGTTTACATTCCCTACAGAACGGACAATACTTTGTAAGATGAGGCGCCGACTAAATAATTAACATTAATATTACTACATCTACATCAAGAGCCTCCAATAACAGTTTATTATATATACACAAAATATAGAATACTCCAATTTGACCGTGGGAACGTAACAAAAATCACAAAATCCAACGACTGACTCGATGATGTAAAACATCAATCTAAGAATTTTATTTTTGAAGAAAGCAGTCTTCTGGGATTTGGCACCGTGCATATGTGGTGTTAACCGACGTTTCGGAGGAACTTATNCTCCGAAACGTCGGTTAACACCACATATACACGGTGCCAAATCCCAGAAGACTGCTTTCTTCATAGTCACCGCCGTGAAAGCCTCAAATCTTACAATTTTATTTTTGTTTTATACCATAACTTTTGTTTTATCTAATCTAATTTATTGAATTTTTACGCCAAGTATTTTAATATAATTAATATTATTGTATCCAATTTTATTACTACTGCAGTTCAGTGGTGTATATATATTGGCCATGTATTTGTCTGATGATAGCTTTCAATAGCCAAAACATGTAGCAGAACCAAACTAGGCACTGACCTTAAAATAGTTGTGTTGTGACAGTTTTAATAAAGAAATTGTAAACGAAACATAATTTTGTCATTTACGACACATTGCCCAAACTGTGGAATCGGTACGAATCGATGCATGAAGATCAGAATGTCTACAGGCTACGTACTGTCCAACTATATTACCCAGCATGCACATAGGCATGTATGTTACGATGGTCACATAATTTATATTTAAGTTTGTTTAAATTCGCCTGTCTACAAGAAACATAAACTACACTTAATTAAAGAATAATAGTTTGTTTCCTGTTAATTTTAAGCAGTTTCAGCAGCAGCATAACATGCTATTTTTTATTGCTAGTGGGGTGGGACTAAGTCCCTTGTACTGCGGCCACTTCTGGCCTATTGTACCAGCCCCAGATGATAGGTGAGGGTGATTGTGGAGCAATTGGTGGAATGAAGATTGGCAGGGGAAACCGAAGAATTCAGAGAAAACCTGCCCCAGCGCTACTTTGTCCACCACAAATCCCACTTGACCAGACCCGGGATCGAACCGGGGCCGCCGCGATGGGAGCTATGGCGCGGCCTACATAACGTGCTATGATATAGGCGAATTATTTCACATTCCATGGGGAAATTTGTCTTTGTTGCTCATTATCGAAATTTTATGGAAGGTTGCAGTCAGGAGAGTTTTAACCACTCCTACTAGACTGTTAAGAACTTCAAATTGTTAAGTTTCCCATTGCTGTGAGAATTAGAGTTAGAAATGTCTTGTCTTGAAGAGTGGTGCAGAGTTGCCTATGTTTCGAAAGATATGAAATATTTGTGCATTTCTACCGGGCAATTCGGCTCCAAAGTCCGGCAGGCCCTACCTTCATCACTGGCCACAGTTTCTTGGCATAAATTCTGTTATTAATTTGATGTGCAGAGTCATAAAGACAGTCTCCCCACTCACACCCTTGTTCACATGTAGCAGCCATGTTCCTCCCTGTAAATACGTAAGAGATGAACAGTCTTTTACTAAAACGAACCTCTAAACCGTAGTCTGTTTGCGGTATGATTTAATTCTCAGTAAAAATAAAAAGTAAGTAAAGCTATCCCTGTAACAGGCCGTAAAGGGCCCATAGGGTTGTGAGACGTTGAGGATCCCACATTTTCTAGACAATCGGCTCAAAGATGGTGGTACGGTTGTCAGCCTTACGCGCCGGCCGCGCTTTACTCCGCGGAAAATTATTTAATTAATTCCTGGTACTCATTTCTGTTAGAGGCTGAGTCGACCCCAGGGCCATGGTGCGGCTGGAAGGATTATGTCAATTGAAAAAAATCCAATGACCTCATCGGGACTTGAACCCGCAACCTTCCAGCTTGTAGCATAGCCCCTCAACCACATTCATATTTTTAGAGTGACGGCTGTCCTTCTCTAGAAATGGATGCATCTGAAAATTCTTATGAGGAAAGAATTAAAATGACATATGTAGGGTTGGTTACAACATACCTATCTTATAGCATGTTCATTTGATAGTGTATGGAAAACGGAACAGGGATAGCTTAGTTGGCATACCGAGACTACGAACCGTGATCCCGGAGTTCGATTCCAAGCAGAGGCAATATATTCTTCTCTGCTCCAAAACATGGCGACCGGTTGTGAGGCCCAAC